AGTCCCACTCAGCCTGATGAAGGGGCACCGATGTGCTCGAAACTAGTCGGTGCCGCCACCGGATGAATATTCCTGAGTGTTTAAAGGTTTTTTATAAGTTTATTATAATGTCTCACGAAAGTTTGAATAATTAAAAACGGCTGCAGTTTAAAAAAATACTGTTTTTCTTTCTTGGTTTTAATAAAAACCATAATTATCTTCTAAACCAACTTTATTTAGCTATAATATTTGATTGTTTTCATCGACTACTTAACTATAATTAAATTTAAATAAAATTATATTAATTATTACTACCATCAAATATTATAGCTAAATAAAGCTTTTAAAAATTTACTACACTGTAATATTGAAACAAATAAGATATAGAACCTCAGTTTTTAATTCAATTATACAAAAGTAGTAAAACAAACATCTAAATGCTGGCTGGTAGATGAATAAAAAAGTTCGATTAAAAGAAGAAAAAAGTTATTACAAAACAAATTCTAAGTGTATTTTTACTTCAGAAGGAAAATAATTAACCTCAATTTAAACTTTGTTCTTATAAATTGCACAATTTTGTACACCAATAAAACTGTTTAAAGTATAACAATCTATGTTTGATCGACTTTTGTAAATAAGAGAACAAAATAACATTGAAAATAAGATGCTATAAAAAGGTTTTTGAGAAGCTCATTCTCCTACAATAAACAAGTATTATTCAATTAATAAGCCGTTGTTCATCATCAGCTCACTATACGTGCCCACTAAGGGGCTTGGAGCCTACCCTAAGATAGGGGTGACTAGGTCATAGTCAACCACGCTGGCTCAGTCGTTGTTCCTACGGCAAAAAATTTTAATTTTACTATCTTAGTTAGGCTAGAAATATTATATCGCTGTCTAATCGAAAACTTCCTATTAGGTACCCTAATTTATAGAAGGCCTCGTTGTTTTATCATCTTTATTTTTAATACATAACCTTTATTTTATTATTAAAATATCTCTTTACAGCGTGAAGTGCTAAAAATTATATAACCAATAAATTTGATGGATCGTTCGAATATATAATGATATTTTTACAGTAATAGAGTGGTGTCTCTCAAGACCGGCTTGATAAATGAGCCATCGGATATGCAAACTCAATTATTTTACCTATTTAACAAGACTTTACCAGTATTCCCAGTGTTTATTTACGTATGTATGTAATAGAATGTAACTCAAACATCAATGCAACAGATTTATTTGATTTTTGCATATTTATAAAGCCGATGACAATAAAATAATTTTACTAATTGGAACACTCTAGACCTGAGTTCTCAGAATAGCAAAGTTAATGAAACTAATTAATGTATTTGATATAAACTAAATGAAACTTTAAGTACTGAAATATTGAATTTACATTTTTCCTTATTTGCTGCTCTCGAACAAAAACTACTTACAAAGTTAACAAAACGTAAAAGCTTTATGAACTGCAAATTATTTATACAACACATTAGCTTTTGAAAATAAAGCTTTAATCAGAAGTTACTTTTTGCTAATCCACAAAAGCTTTACCTTTGTAACGCTTCATAATTTCATCAAGTATGTTTTAAAACACTGTAAAATAACTTTTACATGCTTTTAATAAACATTAACGTTCACATAAATGTTAAAAATGTTTTGCAATAATTCAAAGTATTATCCAGTGAGAAATTTAAATAGATTTGAATCCAGACTAATAATTTGAACAAGCGGATTCAAATTTATAGTCGTATCTATTAAGGACATTGGAGAGACGATTATAGTTGTTGTAATTGCCGAGTCGAACGCTGTAACAAGTTTTTGAGGCAATAATATAAAGAAATTTTCGCCATTTTCTTACCATTTAAAGTAAAACGACTGTAAGGATGATTTTGGTAAATAACAATATTCGTGGTTTAACACAATTGGAATTTTGTTTGCTTTATATAGATGTATCCTCGGTAGTATAGTGGTAAGTATCCCCGCCTGTCACGCGGGAGACCGGGGTTCGATTCCCCGCCGGGGAGAATTTTTTGTGTACAAGTATTGAACGAATCGTAAAATGTATTATAAAAAAATTAAGATCAAATGAATTAAAATTATTATCAATGATTTAATTATTCAAGAAATAAATTGTATTCGTATAATTCCGAAAAATTCAATTTGTTTTGTTCGTTAGATTTCAGTCTGTTGAAAGTTTGTTGAAAATATTGTGGCGCAAATTTTTCGATGTAATCTTCAAGTTACGTCTTCGTCAAAATTGTTAGCGTAGAATAATGAAGCGTCTCGTCTTTTATTTGCATATCTGATCCCTCGTTAATTCCGGCTGCTTCTCGTTGCTTGATTGGAATTTATTGGGCTACCCGATGATCTATCGGCACTTGCTTGCTTCTTTATCTATTCTGATTGTAATTCTACGACGAACTAATGTCCAATAATATTGGCTACTGATAACCAATACTGTAACATTTTTTCGAATAGTTGTAATAGTTTTTCTTCCTGTAAGCTTAATTTGGAACCAAATAATTAGATGAATCAGTTAAAGATTAGTTGTGCAGTGAACTGAAATGATTATTTTTAATAAAAATTGTATCCTCGGTTGTATAGTGGTAAGTATCCCCGCCTGTCACGCGGGAGACCGGGGTTCGATTCCCCGCCGGGGAGGTTTTTTGCAATAGAATTAACTTGGTTTTTTTTTCACTAAATATGAACCTACGTTGAAGAATATTAAACATACAAGATAAATTATTATTTTTATTTCATGATAGGAAAAAGCAGAAAAATCATTGCCAAATCGCTGATGATAAATAAGAATCGGCCTAATGGGTAAAAAATATATTAAGATTTTGAAAAAAAAATCCACTTCTATATTCTGATAAAATTATATGTATTTTATGTTTAATTTAAGATATTTTAAAAGTTAAATTATCCAATTCGAGTTTCAAAACAAACATAAAGTCCGTTATTCTTATGACTATCGTTTTCCGAAGACGTGACGCAATTCTCCGCCTTCTCTTTGTGCAGTTTGTTTTCTTGTATTTCCATAGGATGGCGAGTTTGTGATAAATCCACACTCATATCTCTATTTCCAATGCAAATACACGAGCAATACTTTGAGATACTGCCTCAGTTCCAGTTGTCTTTTCACTGGATTTAAATCCAATTTTATTTGTTACCCGTCCTAGTATCACAGAATATTACTAGAACATGTTTTTAGCCGTAACTTGGTACGTATCTTGTCTATACTTTAACACGTTAGCTGCCATGTCGGACTATATGTCCGCAAGCCATACTTCCATTCAACACCTCGCTGTGGTTAGTCGGACGCTTTTTAATCGAATTGTGTGTAGAGCGTGACCCGCAAGGCCCCATAAAGCTTATAAAACAGCGGGTCCTTTTTTTAGTTTTTCGAAAAATCACTCTGGCAGCTAACGTGTTAATATGATCCATCTATTATCCCAGATCTATAAACCTTAGTGGTTTTTTTCTACAGACTCTTGGTCCGTACTTTTTTTGCACATATATTTTTTCCACTAAATTACAATAGTATGAGTACTAACAAGCTGTGGTCATAAAGGGAGGAGCTTTACTCCTTAGGCGTTATAGATGTCCAAGTATGACCTTACGAAAATTTTAACATTCTCTAAATCATTATCTGTACTATCAGAAATACAAGTGTTATTGTTTTTTCAAAATAAATTTTATTTTTATAAACTTATCTTCTGTGTAAAATAAGAAAGAAATAAATGACAAAGCCTATTCCTATTGAAATTATGTTAACGTAATTTATAAGTATAAAGTAAGTATTTTCACAAACCGACTGAATAGATGTAAATCTTGTCTACAAATATTTGATCAGACGTAGTGTCGCAGGAGACATTTATTGCCAATTAATTCTATACTTTATTAGATTACGTAATTATAAATTTTAATTGGGTATTATACAAGGCAGAATATTTACGTGGAAGTACTTTTGGAAAATTCAATGGAATTATATTATTATTCGTGTGTGTAAATATAGTTAACATATATTAAAAGTCACCCGCGCTGGCCCTTACGGCGTATGGAGAGCGTCCTCCGGGTGGCGGATGGGGGAGTGGTCGGTAGTACAGCCTAGCTACGCTACCCGGCTTAGCCCGATGGACTCGCTGACCAAAGTAGGGTGTGGTCCTCCAGCAATACAGGGGTTGTGCGGCGGGCTGACAACTCGCCCACAGAGAAAACCAATTGTTACGAAACCGACAAAAGAGAAGAGGATCTCTTGTGTCGGAGGCCAAGACCCACTTTGGGTCGATGCGCCAGCGGAGTAAGTATATTAAAAGTCAATGTAATTTTAGAATCTATTAAGAACTTGATAGTTTTATCTATGTTCCTTATATAAGTTTAAATACGCATTTAATTCTTATGCCTGTAACTTTGACCAACCAAATATTGCTGACAGGGTCTAAATAAAATTCGTAATGTATTCGGACCCCTGACCCTTGTCCACGTAAATCACAAGCTTTATTTTTATTATGAAACTGAAATACAACCTGAACTTACTTCTACACATACAAATTACATATTTACAAATTCAACGTGTTGGTAAAAAGGTCTACTAAAGATTATATTAGAGATATTGTGTCTGAGTTATAAGTAGACATTTAGGTAAACTACTGGTCCACTTTTCCTAAAGTCAGACGCAGAAAAAATATAATCTAGAAGGACTTTTTAGACATCTAAATGTTAGAGTTTCAACTATTATTTTATAATTTTGAATACATATAATGCATATTGAAGCTTATCATTGCGATTTCTAACTCAATGACTACGTAATGGTGCCAGTAAATTCCAACAATGTGCTGCTTAGAAAATAGTTCGTGTGTTTTGAAATTTCATGGAATCAACTATGAATATAAATAAATATAATATGTTCGATCATTGTTCCAAAATGAGTCACGACTTTCTGCCTTTCACATTAAACTTCAAATTTTATTTAAAAAAGTACTCGAAAAAAACAATGACGTTTCCGAATCAAAATTAACTGTCATAATTAATTTTACTTGTCAAACAAATCGATAAACATTATGCATTTTATTTACGTTGTATTTTAATGTAATTCTATAATTTTATATAATTTATTTCGTATTAATTGATTATATTTACCATTCATCATGACTATGGCTGAGAAGAAGAACGATTACCCTCCGGGCGTGGAGGCCGACCGGAGGCTGCTCCCGTTCGAAACATGGGAGGACTATTTAGATTCTTTAATCGAAATTGCTGACCTCCGGAATCTCAGGAGCATTCCATCTGCTAGAATTATTGCTGCTCTTGGTTATAGGTATGTAGTTATCTTACTAATATTATAAATGCGAATGTTTGGATGTATGGGCGGATGGATTGTTGGTTGTCCAAAACTGCTGCATTGAGCGAGATGAAATTAGTCATAAATGTAAAACACTGTCTGGAAGAATACATAGGCATAATGCGCAGAGAAAGTGGCGGACAAAATAATTTGCGTATGATCTCAGTCTTATCAGGGAGGATGAGAAAGACAACATTTTAGTACCGGCTCTTTAATAATATTGACGCACTGAATACTAACCTAGTACTCGTATCATTTTCCAGGGCTCTTGGCGATACTCTATCAGAGAAAGAGTTTTACGCGAGACGCGCCGTCATACAAAATATTGTTTACCCAATAACAAAGCCGTACGTCCTAGTGAGCGAAGGGACCGACTTGGAAGATCCTTTTAAAAGGGAATTGGCGATAAGGGAGCGCGCCAACAGAATTGGCATTTTGCAGGTACGGAATATGAAATATTTTACGATACTCGAGTTCCTTTTGGGTTGTACAATTAATATTCCGATACTGTTATAGAAACTTTATAATTTTTTTGCTGTGTAATAAACTCGCGTCTTCTGGTGAATATAATTTTTAAATATGTTAAAGAAATATTTAGATTTTTTTTAACTTTTAAAATAATAGCATGGTATCCGACACCCCTTTTCTCATGCTATATTTCCTTCCAGTCAATAATTTTCATACGACACTTCACAAGAAGTGGTTTCGAAATATCCGGATACATTGATTACGCACATCGACTGATCACCCAGGATTGGGGACCGTTTTTCAAATCCAAGAAGATGCTCTGGCCGAAGGACAGCGACCTTGGATACTTCCATTGGCGTCACGGTACCGTTAGAAGTAACATCAGCCGAAATTATAAGGTAAGTAATTTTAATTAATTAAAAACAAATGAAAATAATACTATCAACTCTAAAAAAAGTCCAAAGTTCCGTTTGTACAGTGTGCAAAAAAGTTCGTATCGTCAAATAATGTAACGTAGTTCATATTTATACTTTCGTCGCTTCGTGTACAAACAAAAGACGGAAGCGTGACGTTGATAGATGATGACAGTTGCATGTATATTCAGTTTTAATTTATTCCAGCCAGTAATGGATCCTGAACAAGGTCTTTTGTTTCAAAACCGGCACGACCATAAGATAATATGTCCCAACCCGGAACAGGAGACTGGTCAGAATTCAACCAGGACTAGAGTCTACTCACCAATGTATACGCAAATCGAAATTTACGATCATGTTGTTCGAAAGAAATCCTAAAAAAGGCGCTTCGTGTATTTGCGATCTACATAATCTGTAATATTTCAGGGTTTATAAAATTTTACTAGTTAAATATATTTTTTATTACTTAGGAAAATTAAGTAAATACACTCGTTGATCTAAAATTAACATGTTTATCTTAAAAGTTATAACCTTATTGGAAACTTATGCATATAGTAAACATAAATATGAAGATTAATAAGCTTCAGAATAAAAATAAATTACAGTAAGTAAATAATTTATTTCATTTTTAACTCTCATAATTGTAGTATTTTTCGAATTTTTGTCATCTCACTCTGTTACAGTAACATAAATTTTAATTTATAACATTTTGTTATATTTAAATATACATAATATTTTAGTAAAATTAATTAATGAACAATATTTGACGTAATTAATTTCGGTTAACGAGAATCTGATTTAAAACGACAGACTAAATATTCTACCAAAGGCCAACAGTAACCAAACAAACAGTATACATTTTACACTAACCAAAAGCACAAAATTATCGTGATTTGTTATAAAGTGACTTTAAACATAATAATTGCATTTTTCACACTTTTGAAACTCGATTATTGTAAAGGTTTTCAAACAATGAAGCTAAACATTTTTTTCACTCCCATTCGGTCTTACATCAGTTTTATCTAAGAAGCGTATTGCGAACACTACCTTTTTAAATCTTGCAAAACCATGTTTGTGATTATTTCTAAAGAGCGTATTATGTCTAAGTAACTTAACATTTTAAGTATTACGCCTAAAAAAAGAATATTCAAACTTAACTATTTAAAGCGTAAAATACTTGATTCAAAACAGAAATTACTGCCTTAAAATAATATAATATTAAAATAAATATAGCTTATTGTAATATAAAAATTATGGTGAATTAGTCATGGATTCAAGCCGCGTCCGTTTTGCGGATTCCCGTGATGCGCTGTGTACCACGGCCGTGCGCAGTGTGATACCAAAGATGTCCTCGTGGTATCTGTTTTCATCCTGTAACGAACAATAATATTATTAATAAATGTTCTATATTGCCAAAGGTTTGTGAACAGAACAGACGAGATTCTGGTCAAAAAAATGTGTTTGAAGTTAATAATTAGTCTTTGAAGAATACTATATGAAATTATATCGTTTAGGACCTTTAGTGAAGGTTCAGTAATGTCTTTGCTAATTGGTCAATTCGTTAAATGAAACTACAATAAATATCAATATGAAAAAATATTTCTGAAGTTACTTACCATTAAATCTAGAATGCAATTTTCAGCCTCATCTGGCGTCATATTAGCATTAATGCTAATAATTTCTTTTAGTTTTTGTTTAACTTCTTCCGCCATCTTACAGTCACCACACACGTAGAAGTGGCCCCTTTCTTCTAGAAGCAATCTTGTAACATTTGCACCTTCGTCTTCGATCAGTACTTGAACGTGTTTCTGTTTAGAAAACATTTCTATTAATTAAATACAAGAGACAAGAAGTACTAGTAGTTATGAAATTATTGTAAAATGATTACTTAATCCATTACATTTTTTAAATTGCAAAAGTAGTACTTATATTAACTAAAATCATTTAAGCCAGTCAAACATTACCTTACTAACTCCTTCCTCTCGAGAAAGTGCAACCATTGCCTTACTAAGTACGCCCCTAGCTAAAGCTTCCTCCTTTTCTTCTCTATACAAGTCCATAGTTTTGTATCGACAACCAAAGAACAACCAAACCGGACCAACGTTCTTGGATCGGGATTCTTTAATCTGACAACTTCTATGATGCCAGAAGCCTCTGAATGGAGCAATCCCTGAACCTGGCCCAACAAGAATGAGTGGTGCTGATATGTCTTGAGGCAAATGGAAGTTTGGCGCTCTGAAATAAATTTTTTGACGTTTAACGTTATATCAATGGAAATTACCAACATTATTACATATATGATTTTGATTGTAAGAAAAATCTTACAAAAATCTTACCGTCTTAAGAAAACTGTCAGTTCATCGCCTGGTTTTCGATTCTGCAGATATGTGGAACATACACCATAGTGAGTTGATCCATTACCTCCTGTGAATTGTAATGCATTCGTTAGTATTAAACTTATAATTTACAAAATTAGCCTACAATGTTATACTACTAAATCTCTAAACCTTTGGTAACTATGACCAACCATAGCATTGGCATAATCGTACCTTCTGTCCTATAGACGACAACAGCCACTGTTATGTGGATCTTTCGTGGATGTGCTAGCGGAGAAGACGATATGGAATAAAACCTTGGTTGTAAGTGTGGCAGCAACACTGTTAGCAATGACGCTTGTGGTTTACACGACGGTAACAAGTCCAGCACTTCTGCTAAATTAGGATAATAGTGGTGTCTCCAGTCATCATATTTATTTGAATCCTGAAAAACATAATACTATTTTGTAACTTGGTGGACAAATTGCATTATTTTTCTCATCTTCAGTTTCATAAAAAAAATATAGATTGTCCTAAAGGATACGTCAGCATACCTCTATTAATTCATTGAGAAAATCAATTTCTTTCTTTTGACTGCATGCATTTGCTAAATACTTTAGGACTTTTGTAGAAGGTGGTGTTGTGATGTCCAGAAACCTTGTGAAAATATCCCGCACCGACACAGCCGGTATACGTTCGTGGTTTTCCCAAGTTTTCATTGCACCTATAATTTAAGAGTGTTATTTAAGTAATTTTATTGATTCAAAAGACCTGTGAGCTCTCAATTAACCACAAATATACTTATTTTACCTGACACTGTGAATGTCTCTTTTAAAAGTTGTAATTGAACTGGTTTGTCATAATCATCGACGTCTTTTAATCTTCCTAACACGACATCTACAATCTCCTTACGATTGCAGGCGAGGATTCCAACGTGATCTCCTGGTTCGTAGTTTAACTCATCCTAGAAATAATCTTACTTTGCTTAATACTATATGTTTTCAAGTTATTAAATTAAGTGATCTAGTTCCTTACATTTGATTCCATGTCTACAAAAATGGTAGCACGATCGGCGGTGTAGTCTCCCAAATGCTTGTTTTCTTTTACCACGCATGTCAATAATTGCTTTCTAAAGCCAGCTTCGAGGGCAGATTTTATTGGCATAACTTTATTCGGTTTGTCAAATCTTACTGTTTGTTCATTCAGCGGCATCATGCCTAGAGCTTTCTTGCCGTCTTTTACCATTTCATTTTCATCCAAACAGAATGTTTCGCAGGCGACCTAAAAATAAACAAAACAATTTTAAAAAGAGTAATCCATCGTTAAGCTTAGTCTTAGCTAAGTGGATATTATGGAGCTCATTAAGGCCAGTTCTTTTCGGTCTTCTTCATATTAATACCTAATCCTACCAGCTACCGACTCATTCGACTTAAAAGATATGTTGTAATAAACATTTACTTGAAATATATTTGAAGACCAGTTGCGAAACTGCTGTTCTTGTCCGTACATTTCGTCACCACAAGCTAAATCAAGTAGTCTCTCCCCTCCTAAGTCTTCAAGAACTTTATCTACGGTCTTTCCGAAATTGCAGAACTTTGGATACGCGCTGGACCCGAGTGCGAAAACTGCGTAACAAATGTTACTGAGCGGCCCAATGTTTTCTATTGATGATGTTCCTGCTACACTACCTGTGAATATAACGTTTAGCTTAATATATGTTTTTGCTAAAACAAGCAAGATGCTGCAAGATGCAAGCAATATTTGCCATAACATAAAAGAAAATAGACTTCCTAAAAAAATATTCTGATATAAAATGCACTAAAAGACACTAAAAGACTAAGAATATTTTCTTCTTTCTTGTAAGATGTCTATATTGGACAATTATTCTTATTTCGGAGTCGGTGTCGGCCGAAGAACATTTCCCTAATCTGCCTCAGCAGACAAAATTTTATGTCTGAGATGCCTTAAACCTTTAATGTTTAAGTTCCAATCTAGGGCGGTTAAACATATTCCCGACAAACACCTAAATGCAGTTTCGGAAACTTACTTATTATGTTATAGGTTAAATATCTTCGTAAGAATTACCGAGACCTACTAACCAATAATTCGATTCATTGAAATAAAAAGTGTAAATTGAATTAACAGATTTGTCTCAAACGTGTGTTAGCACCTTGTTTCGACAACTTTTTGTAAACATTAGCATATTTATGTCAGAAAACATGTGGTTACTTACTTTTATTCGATTCTAAACGTGATAATTGTTTCTTGTATTCAATTGTTGGTGTCATTATACTGTTTGTTCTCATAAGAGCTTTCGGTGTTGGTACTTTACTGTTTCTATAAAAAAGATTGTGTTTAATAAAAACTCTCAATACAACTTCACTCGAAGATTGCTTAAGTAAAAGTGAATTTACCCTGCAATGTCTCCTCCTTGGTCTTCTTGGTTTTTCTTCTCATTGCATAGCATTTGGAAAAGATGTTCAGCAAATTCCTGAAATTTGAAACATAAACTAGTGAAATTATTTTCTTATTTCAATTATTAAAATAAATACTCGAAAACAATATTTAGTTTCGTAAATATTCGACTACACGCGAGAATTCGTATATTAAGGTAATAAAAGGTACTCACAACGCCATTCGCAGGAGGTTCTCCGTTGCCAAAGGTGGAAGTTACGATCAACACAAGGGTTTCGTGTTCTATTGAGAACATATCGTACTCAGACATACAATGTACCTGTACACAAATATTTAAAAAATATTCTTTATTTGAATTTTTAATTTAAGTTTTTGTCTTTTAATTCATAATTATCATCACTAGCAACTAATTCTTAAATTTACCATTTTTTTCGATGTAGAAATCGTTAAATACCTGTGCGTTAAATGCATGTCCAAATATAATGCCGAGTTCTTTAGCGTATTGTTCAGACTTGCCAGTTTCGGTTCCGTACAAGATAGTTGCTTTAATGCGCTTCGAGAGCGCCTGCCCGAACAGTTTCGAAGTGAATTTAACTGCTCTCGCGATTTGCTTGAAGTGAAACTTTCTGTGTCCGTTCCTATTATTTTCTAACTTAGACCATTGGTGTGTCTTCCATGCGGGTTCCTGTAGACATTAATTTTCTGCAGGTAACTTTTAATTTAACAAAGCGATCACAATGATTACAAACCAGATTAATTTTCGAACAAAACTATAATTTTAAAGTGTAGTAACCTGATAGTCGTATGACGGCCTGAAATAATACAAGGCCATTTCTTGATGGAACACAGACGTTAGTGAGCCTGACATCGGTGGCACTATCCATATCCAATCGGCCGGACATCCGCCTCTGTGTAAAAATAACGCCATTGGTAATGAATAATCGATTCTAATTGTAGTCAACCACGTATATTTGAGATTCTTCTTCGAAAATATAATGTTTGGCGTAATACAAATTATGAGCCTCAATCAAAATTGTTTTTGTCTAATAAGCACTATTTCTGTTTCAATTTATCTAACCTGCTTTTATTTTCGTTGTCCAAATGCTTGATAAATTGTTCGGAGGCAGAGTGGTGATCAACAATGGAGACATTGTCGCGATGAAAACTATGAAGCACCGCTATATTAACTTCGACTAGCGCTTGGTCCTTCCATAGTGAAACGTACGAGTTTGTATCGAGACCCAATTTTATCGCTACAGCCTGAAAATAGATGGAATCGTAAGCAACGTACGAATTTAGATATCCTACTACTTAACATAAGCATGGTGGAGGTGGCGGAGGAGTACGTATAGGAAGAGGAAATATACTCTTTCTGTACATCTTTTTCACTGCCTTCTAAAGTATGACAACGCATTTGAACCTTCAGCTTGTTGCACTTCATATTATCCTCATTATCATCAACATCAACTCACTATATGTCCGCACCGAGGGGCTCAGAACCTACCTTAAGTTAGGGGTGACTAAGCCATAGTCAATCACTATATGCTTCATATCACTATTTTAGAAAAAATCAGTGGTCGCTTGCTCGTCTTATTAAAAAAATATCAATTCACTTACTTCGATAATATTAAGTCGATTAGAATCACAGAAGTTGCGACATCCAATCTCTGTTCCCATATACCAGCCATTGAAGGCTGTGCCAGTAAACTCCAAGCCACCGCAGTCCAACCGCATGTTAGAAACCGCCGGTAGCGCGTACCATCGTAACCCGAGCTCTTTGAACCACTCGTATCTATTAGCAAATATTAAGTTATTATGCAATATTTGCTATGTCATATTTACAAAGCTTCGCTTTTATAGAAGCGGTAATATAACATGACGTTACAAAATTGTTCGGATACCACAAAAATTAGATATTGTTCCCATAACATCTTTAATTTAGAAATGTGCAAATTATTTTGAATACTTTTAGAAAACAAAACAAATAGAATTAATTATCTTCTACTGTTTTCACGTACGAAAGTACAACTGTAACATTGTTTAATGGCCACAGTTAGTTATTTTGTAGTGACATTATTAAAACTTGTGGGAAAGGACTACACAAGTCTTTAATCAAATCGTTAGTGTACAGTTTAGAGTTGAGGTCGTTGTCTCTAACTGTTGTTACAACGTTTGTTAGACTCGAATGCTCGTCTATTTCGTTCAGGATAAATTAATTGTCATTTCTATCTTGGACAAAAACTGTAATACCAATAATTATTTTGACAGTCAGATAAATAGTGTTTATAAAGTGTCAAGATTTTAGAGACTAAAACTACTTGTAATCTGACAACTGATATTAGCTTGCTGAATAAACAATAAAACCCATAAAGATCGTAAATTATTTGTTTTATTTTACCTTGGATGCTCCATTTGCACTTCCATGACTATATCCCGTGGTATGTCAAAGAACTCTGGGTCTTTGCCATCGGCTGATACCACCAATGGTAGTATATCCCATGCGGTGCGGGGCGGGTTCCATCCCAGTTTCATGCACACCTAAAAATTGTAAGTAATATTGTCAAGATTCATTTAACAAAAATTGTTTGGAAACATAGTCAAAAGATCTTTACAAGTAGAGGTAATTTGCGTGAATAATCTGGTCGTTATAAGATGTACATGAAATGAAAAAAAAGGATTTCCTTTTTAACCGCGTGACAAAACTAAGCGACTAAATTTAAAACGAAACGATTTAAATTTTGTACCTAGAAGTTTTTATACGCTATTGTAAAGTCCAACCGGATCTGTCAGCACAATGGAGCGCTCGACGTAATTTGTAATGGAGCATCACTTTTATTTTATTTTATTTATAACTTACATTTCATATTTCACACACATGAAATTTGAAAGTCCATAAATGGTCGGATATTTTCCCGACTTGTAACGTTGTAAAAAGTTTTAAAATCTCTAAAGATCCAAAAAAATTTAAGAAGCCCAAAAACTAAAATAGGTAAAGGAGGAACAGAAGAACGCCCAACCAGAGTAAAGAAATTGCATAGCAAACTGCTATGTTCCCTATTTATGGTCTGTCATTCCTATGGGTATTTCTGTTGTCGTATAATACTATACTTCAGATTTATAGAGTAATATAGGGCCAATGGCCGTATTCTAAATTCCGAAAATCCCATGGCTGAAAGTTAGGTATTAAGTACGTTTTTCAACAAATTTAGAGAACATACGTCCGTGAACTCGACGCGGGCTGGGTCTCCCAACACCGAGCCGTCTTCCTCTATGTAGCCGGCATAACTGATGAGCTGCGGATTCCATATTCTGTAATCGTGTTTACCGTCCGTTCGCTGGGGAAATATTGTTATCGCTGACCTGAAATTTAAGCAAACGTACAAAATCTTTCTGATTAAGTATCACCTTTTCTTTGAAATTATATCTCTTAATTTTCCGTTTTATAAAAATCTCTTCAGTTTGCGTCGTTACCAAGTGAATGTAACTATTGTGTTATTTTTGTTAAAATACATACGAGTATAATAAGGCTCTGCTACATTTGATTTTTCTGTTGGAATATTGATAGCCTTTGGATTGCCTGATTGATGTCAGATTCAATATTGATGCAAATTTGTTCTTCCGCTTAGCTGCTTTACACAAGGGTAATTTATGTAGTATATATTTATTAGAGGGTATTTTCTCTAACTTTCCATAACTCGTTTTTGTTTTATATGAATTTAACAGTTCAAAAGGCTGGTTCCCTGTAAGCGAATAGTGAAACTCTACCTTATATTTCCTTTATTCGTCGCGTATTTGATATGATTACAGAGAGCTTCGAACATTCCGCTGGCTGTCGTTACTTCCCTGCAGTCGAATATCTGTCGAAATATATTTCCTTTTAGTATTGTTTTCATTTATCTGTCGAGTAAGGCGACGATTGATACCGGTTTTTATGAACAAAGACAATTTGTGATCTTTGGCTTATTTATTTCATTTTTTTTAGTACTAGTTTGAATTCATATGAGGTAAAATACAATTGCAGTATACATCGCATTCAAGTTTCTTTTACTTTCAGTATTTCTATTTAGGATTTCTAAATTAGACAAATTAGTAAAAGGCTTTCTGACTACACTTTTAAACAAAAGAAGCATAATTTCATTTTAAAAACCTCTACTCATCTAAAGGATGTTATTTTAAAACTACTAATTACCGTTTCATTCTCACAATTTAATATTTACAAAGAGCATTTCCCCCGCTATTTTCACAAACATTCAAAAAGTAATTTGGTTAACAAAACAACATACTTTTCAAGTTACACACATTTAAGTCATTAAGAACCCTAATTAAAAGTTTAAATGCGGAATTAGCGACAACGTTTGGTTGAATGTAACAGTATTTTTTCATTGGGTTGTTTTCCATTATTTTTATAATTTCTCATTAAACTAATTGTTAGTTATACCATTTAATTCTGAATTAATAACTCAGTTTCCAGACATTTTTTTTGTTATATATAAATTTAATCTTTTTAATGTTTTTAAAGAAGACACCACAGCTTATTAGTTACACCCCAAAAGTCTTAAACTTTATGCAGTTGTAGCAAAATACGCACTAGTCATAGTGTTTCAGAATCCATAGTCCCCTACTTCCACTACAAGTAATAGTTCTTGTGGAATAGTAGTTTCTAGCGCTTATTTTGTGCGTGAAAACTTATTTTCATTATGTACATACCTGTAATTTCTTCCACTGTATACGTCCAATGCATCGTGTAGCATTGCGCCACGCTAACTTCGCTCCGAACACCAGTTCTGGGGTTTTCAAGTTGTATGTACCTCTATAAGCCAGCTCTGCTTCAATTTCTTTTAGTCTTGCAACGTGAGCTTCTGAGTTTTCTCTACAAATAGACTTTGTTATGACAGACATATGAAAAAGAAAGATATTAGTGCTATATAGAAACATTTTTGTTGGTCATTCTTTGAAACTAGCTGTCGCCCCCGACTCCGTCCTCGCGCAATAAAAAAACATAATTTGTAGCCTATAGGTTTTTCCAGACTTTGTTATATATGTATTTATAATATTAGTAAGAAGTAAGATTAACTAGTTTCCAATGTCTTCTTCAACAAAAGACGGATTTGGAAGTAGAAATGATTGTTAAAATTAATTTAAAATGAAAACAAAATCAAGTACAACTGCTTAAATTACAATTTAGATTAAACAAAGAACTTCAGTTAGTAATCCCGTTTAGAAAGTAATTTCAGGAAATCCTAAAGGAAGCGCTCAGTTTCAAATTGGTATTGATTATTATTCATTAGTAAATATTGTTAGGCAGATTTGTATACATTGTTTTTCATCTCGAATATCTTCACTCTATGTATATTGAAGTAATTGGACGCTAAGGTAGACTCTAGATCATGTTTTGTGAGGAACAAGACTAATTTAACGAACGACACTGACTTTTTGTTATATTATAAGGTGGCAAACAAGCGAGCGGCCACCTGAAATCACTGGAATAGCGTACTGACCGTTGCCCATAGACATACACAATTGCATATGCGTTGCCTACCTTTATAATCGTCTACTACGTCAGATCTTAACTTTTCCTTAAACCTTAATCAACAATCCTACAAATTTTCGTATCATAATTTTAGTTACCATACTCCTCCGAAACTGCTTGACCGATTTTTATAAAATTTATGTGCATATTCAGTAGGTCTAAGAATCGACTACCATGTTTTTTTTCTCGCTTCGATGGAGTCGCGGGCGACTGCTAGTACGGTATATAATTTCAATTGAAATCTCGTCAGACATAACATTACGGGGCATACTAAGTACAAGAACTATGTTCTTATGTTATAAAATGTTGTAAAATGTACCTGCGTATAGAGGCGAAATATTCTTTTAAAAATGTCTGCGCTTCTTTATATATTTCCTCAGGTGATCTCGGAGTATCGCCTCTGTTTGGTATATCCATGATACTTGTTTGACATAACTTCTCCGTGCATTTTGTGTTCTGAAAGAAAATTATAAAAATAGCATTTATGATATGTTAAAAAGTTTTCAAATTAAAAAAAATATCTTTTTGAACTAAGGTAATTTTACTAATAATATAAATGCTATAGTTTAGACGGATGGATGTTAGAAGATATCTACGGAACAGCTCAACGAATCTTGATGAAATTTGGAACAGATGTGTAATTAGTAAGATTTTTTATAACCGCGCGGACGGAGACGCGGGCCACAGTTAGTCTATGTATAAGACGGAATGTATAATAAAGTAGATATATTTATGTACGTCAATGTACATAACATGCCTAGTTATATAGATAATTTTTTTATTTAAATAAATTATTTGTATGGCATACATATAATATGGTTTACCGATTGTCAACATATTACGCATGTTATGAGCTTATTTAAATACTGATGTTAGGTGGTATAATGCTTAATTACTTAGCCATTGCGACATTATGGTCATGCGCGTTGAACATTGCCTATTATATTATTCATTGCAATTGCTACATCATTGTGACTGTTCAATGGAATATAATATTTCGATGTACACAATAAAGTTGATTCCGGATTTAATATCTATCAGAACAAATGATTACTTGCTGGCTAATGTTATCTAGGGCTGTTATACACGAACTGGTTGAAGCAATTTTCGTGCGGCCGTCGTTAGGCAAAGATCAGTTGACGTTCGCTGTACACGGATTGTAATATGCAGTAGCCGCTAAATAATGTAGCCGGACTAACAAGTCCTGTCCGTGTATGGCGGCCTGCGTGGGACCATTTGAATTGGTAATTACAAATTGTTCCCTTATCATTACTATGTGGTCAACATTTTAATTGTGATTGATATTACTAATAATAGTAAGAACGATATATGAAAAACAAAGGAATAAAGATAGTCTTTTAGTCCTATTATAATTAGGCTTTTGTGCCAACACTTAAACTTTTATTTATGTTAAGTTAAAGTTAAATAAATGCATATAGTTTACTGAATCAGATAACAATGAAAATAACACAACGTGAATAATAGTTATAATTTTTAAATATAATTTATAACTAAAATATTTTGTCGTCTTTATTATTATATAAATATAATTTAACCCACACATTGTAATAGATAATTTGTTACTATATAAAGGAAAATATGACTCAATGGTCTTGATATTTGAAAGGCGATATGCAATTAATTGCTTCTCAGAAGCTATGTGCAATTAGACATAATAGTGGGAAAACTATTCTATGTTATACAAAATAGTCGTACTAAATAAATTCTCAAGTATAACTAAGTGCAAAAACCTGTCGTGTCTATGGTCGTTATGGGTAAATAGACAACTTATTTATCTTTCGTTTTGTTTGAAATTAAGTGAACAGCGGCATGTCAAATTTCATTCATGGCGGCCATATTGGTTTTGATTTTTTTTTAATGTTTTGTGAAACTTGTGACACAAAGTGAAGTTACACTGTATAGCTGTCGCCCACCACTCAGTCCACGAGGAATTAAAAAAAATAATAATTAGTAACTTATGTGTTCTACCAAGCTATGTTCTATATGCGTGCCAAATTTCATCAATATCCGTTCAGGTCTGGAGATACTTTCAAACAAACATCCATCAGTCCATTTAAACATTCGCAATTATAATATTAGTAAGATTTATATTAGACATAACCATATAAAACAATTTTTTTGTGTTTGTTGATGTGTCCATTCAAAATTTGCTTAAAATATCGTTAGTTCCAACCTTCAATTTGTAACAACTTGTCGGATCTGTCGAGGTCTTGTAGCTGATTAAGAGACAAAATTACGTCCGTATACTGATGTCTTTGTTTACTTATAAACTATGAAATAACCTATAGATCGAAACCTTTAATATTAAAAATGTGGAATTATTTTTATTTTCGTATGTCTTGTATAAACTTATAAACTACTAGACCGATTTGAATTATTTCTTTATTCGGGATAAACGGAGTCGTACAACTTTTTAAATAGGTTCCGAAGTTAATATCGTATATTAATAAAAAATCGAGGCTACAAACAGTAGTACATATATTACAAAAAAAAGTCCAAAAAGTTTTAAACCTTAAAAAGGTCTGAAACATATTGTTATAATATAAACATATATAACTAAACCTATTTACTATTCTAACCATGTTATTTATTTTAATATCGTTTCTAGAAAATTCGTTGTCACCGTATACAATAGAAAATACTGTCCATAAGTACTATCGATACTAATCTGCAATAATAAAGCTTTGTATACATCGATTACGCTATTGGTCACACAAACGATCCAAAAGATAAGATATAAAAACATGATTACATCATTATGGTAACACGATCAAGGGACGCGTCAGAATTATCTGACATGAGGAAAACAAAGTGTATCATTGTGTACCAGCTTTATCATACAAATATTAAATCCGTTCATTTTTGATAGCTTTTAATATAAAATATAATTTAAATGGGACCATAAAAATATTAATTATGTTAATGATGCTATAATTTAATAAATTATTCATATTACTATTAGATAACTTAATTTGAAACTAAAATTTGCACTATATTTGGCAGCGACTTTGGATATAAATAATTTATTGAAATAAGGCCTTGACTGGCATTAGTAGTGACTCCTTACTTAATATTATAAATGCACAACTCTGTCTGTCTGTCGTGGTTTCATGAGAAAACTACTTAACCGATTTAAATGAAATGTACACAAATATACAAGACCACAAGAAAGGACAAAGGCTACAATTTAATGTGGAAAAAAGGGTTGAAAAGGGGGATGAAAAATTGTATGGAAGTATTACCGCAGCTAGAAGTTTCATATTTATTTTTAGGCTGTTGATTCCATATAAATAAATATGATATTCAAAGTTTATTAAAATGTTTTAACCAAGAGAGTTAACTAACTAGAGAGCAATGTTACTCAAAGACACTAATACACGTGGACGAAGTCGCGGGCAGAACTAGTATTACTATATACGGTCTATCAACTGTACAATTATCAAATACTACTTAGAAAAATGTAGTCGTATTAGTAGATGAATGGAAGTCTTTTGATTGTTATATATGAAATACCTTATAAGGAAACTAGCGATATAAATTATTTTACTAGGTACAACCGCCTTCGGACATTACTCCACGATGAAAATTGCTTTGCACCGCGTAATGAACTTGGACTTCTATCGTTTCGGACAAAAAGTCACATGATTATCGCTTTAGAGGTGAAATAAGGTCTGCAACCACCACTTTTCTATTAGATATCTTTAAAACCACTTTAGAAACAAGTACTAATCTGTTTATCGATGTGGTTATAAGTATTAAACCGACTATAAACTGGTTAATAGAAAAATATGTAACCTACATAAACAAAGTAAAACCGGTAACGTCGTTCGAGAACGAAGAATATTTTATTAAAGGTTAAAAAATACCAAATGCAATGAACTAAACTGTTAAGTCAAATATAAATTCAATGTAATTTTCAGTCCACTGATCTAAGCTCCCGAAATCTAAGCCGTACCGAGAATTAAATATTATTATAAAATACATATTGGAATTATTTGCTCGGATTCAGATTTCTGTGTTCCGTTTGCTTTTCAAATCTACGGTAACAATTAGTTGATGCGTATGAAATACGTATTTGCTTTGTTGTACCAAAAATAATAATTGTCGTAACTTAATATCTAGTGGTGATTAAAAAATATACGATCACTGAGGATCATTAGGCGGAAAATGTTAAGTTTTTTCTAAAATGTTTCTTATTGCCAAAATTAAATATAATTGTGAAATATGTAGGTCTTATCTTTTTTATTAGTAAAATAGAGTTAATAGTTCGCATTTTTAGTTACTCTACTTAGGTTTCTACCGATTCTTAACTAACTAAACCCACGCACATTTCATTTCCTTAAAATAAGCCTCTCGGTACATTTGAAATTCGATCGCTATCACGGAAACCGTTACTTGTATCCCGGGGCTATAGACACCTAATTACACTCTAAGCGGGGATTCCCCACATCCGCCTCGATGTGATTCGTCACGCGTTCGCCTCCGTCTCACAGCACCGAGCATTTCGTCATACTACTCTGATAAGAATTACCTAATACTTCTTGAACTGACAAGCATTTTCTTTGTACTCACTTTTGCGCTTAAGCTATTTAGATTAGTCGAGAATATTCGTTACAACAAAGCGGAATAGAAATGGGGAACTGTGGATAATATTTTTATTTAATTTGTTTGTTATGAATTATAAATAATATAATCTGCATTCCAAACAAAGACATGGAACATTGATCAGACATTTCAATATTCATTAATTCTTATTTTATTGATTTATGCAAATATCACGGCATATCCTTTGAACAAAGGTAGTTTATTAACTAATAGCTCTCTTATCTTAATATTATAATACTACAGGTATTCTTGGCGCCAATTCTATATAGGTTTAGTTCCTCGTCAGGTTGTTTTCTTCTTTTGCAATGGTTTGCCATACTCTAGTGGCCAAGTCAAAGTTCACCAAAACCCAGTGACCAACTAAAGGTTTGTTAAACACTAGTGGCCAAGTCAAGGATTTTTTAATGCCGGCCTTTTTGCCTCCCTCTTATTTCCTTTGACGCTGTAAGAGCCAAGGACTGACCTAGTCAAGGTTTGCCGAACACTGGTTTCCATGTTTTGGTATCTTCAGGTTTACTTTTATAAATTCGGTATTCCTAGTTACATGGTACGTGGGCCAATAAATTAATAAACCACTAACAAGATGTTGGGGAAACTCGCTCGTTATTATTTAACGAAGTCGACAAGAGCAGCTTTGTTATTAAATTAGCGCGGTCCACTCATGGGCATTGTTCCCACGCTCGACACGCGGTCTTTTCGTAACACCAAGTGGGAACTTTGTGACTCAACAAAACACTATTGTTAAACATAGTAATTCAATATTATGTCGAGCCAAGTAACTATGGATGTTAATGAAAAACACAAATTAGTTTACTAAAAGAAACAGTCCG